GGCTGTCCGCTCCTGGGCAGGGCCTGCAGGTGCGGATGGGCTCTGCGTGCTGCAGGCAGGCGGATGCGTCCAAGACCTCTCGCTCCGGAGCCGGCCACCGCCGGCAACGCTGGGTTCGTTCCCACAGCCGTTGCTCGCCTGCGATGGCTGTTCGCCGGGGAAATGAGTGGACGCAAACGGGTGGATGTTTTATTCTTTGAGCCTGAGTTCAAGCGTGCTTCAGCGCGCCTCCAGCGCGATTTTTTTCCTTGTATGCCCTGCTTCAGCGGGCTCATTGCTCTCCAAGGACTCTTGCTAAAAGAGAGCTCCGTTACTAGCTGGGTAGCAGGGACGTTGATCCCCCCCAAGTAACTGCAGAGGGTTTACTGCGGTGTCAGTGCAGAAGACCTTGCACGGAAGTGCTTGTGGGTGACCGCCTGAGCGGTCACCTCTCCGATTCCCGCAGGGCAGCCCCCTCCCGACCGGCCCCGCTAGCACCGAGGATGAGCCGTTTTGTGAGCGCTGGAATTGGAAACGGGAGCCACTGCAACAGCAAACTGCGCATTTCTCTCCCTTCCCCTTGCCTGGTAAAACGGGGGGCGAGAATATATTTTTCCTCATTTTCTCTAGTTTTCTTCCCCCTTGGTGAGCTCCAAAGAGGCATTTATTCCCAGGTGCTCGAGTGGCGACAGAAAATGGCTAGAAAAGTAGATGCAGCCCTCCTTTTCTCTTCCTCCTATATTGCGTCCCCGATGACATAAGTAGCTGCAAACGGCACTTGGCAGGGCTATCCCACATCCCTGCTGTCTCGAGTGCGAAACGACATAGTGCAGGAGCCTGATCACGGCAGCCTTTGCTGGGCGCCGGTTCCTGAAGCCCGTGGGGAACCTCGTCCCGGTTAAAGCGGACGGGTATCTGCTGTCCCCGCAGGCGCCCTGGCACCTCCCGTTGTAAGGCATTCCCTCTAAGGTTTTAAAACCCTAAGCCCTAGCCCTGGGGGAAGCTACGTTTTTGGAAGCTGGTGTGTTGTGTTGTGTTGGTGGAGGACATCAGCTGCGGATACAGGCTGGAAGTCCCAGGCTTGCACGCCTGCGTGTGGCTTCGTTAAACTCTCCTAATCCCCCAGCAAAGGTTGGGGGTCAGTGAGAGGAAGGCTGACCGCAGCTCTTGATTTTCCTGTGCATCACTGCAGTCACGAATCCCAGTTGTCTGGGTCTGGAAGTTTCTTGCTTTTTTTTTTCCCTCTTGCAAAATCTTTTTTGCTCCCTCTGCTTCCTCCTCCAGGCCAGGGATGATGCAGCCGTGGGCTCGCTCCACGGGTCCCGGCGTGTGAGCGGCTGCTTTGTCTCGCTGAAGAGTTTTCACTCGTAATTTGTGTAGGCACAGTCATTTTTGGTGTGATCCTTTTTGTACTTTTTGGAAGAAAAGCAGACCGTGAGCAGCTAATACCCTTGAGTGGGTGAAATGGAGATAGGTTTTAGCAATTTTCTCTGCGATCTGCTTTGGGGGAGAGCCTGGCCGTCAGGGTTCGCCCAACACCTTCCTCGCCTCCTTTGTTCGGTGGGAGGGTTGCTCATTATCTGGTTTGTGCTTCTCTCACAAAAGAAGCTGTAATTGTACCAGCTCCCTGCCATAAAAGCACAAAAGACATTTTGAGGGAAGGAAAAAGTCAGTGCAGCTCTGATGACCCTTTAGAGTACTCCTTCTGCTATTTTTCTCCCCACCTGCCCTTTCTCCAGGGCCGGGATCTCCTGCCTGGCGCTAATGTGTGCTGCGGTCGGCCCCTTCCCCAGCACCGTCTGTGCCTGGGGCACGTGGCTCTCATGGGTCTCACCCGTGGTGACTTTATTCACAGCCTACAAGATCCTCCTGCCAAGCCAAACATGAGGAAAATAGTTCTCCCCTCTTCCAGGAGCAGATACCTCTCCAAGGGTCTTTTCTGAGGTGTTCCCTGCAAACAGGCAGCGGGTCGATCCTCCTCCAGGAGCATGGAGGAACCATCCTCGTCCTCCTCACCTGCGGACAGGCAAGGCCGGACCCCTTCCCTGTTGGCAGTAGCATGGGACAAGGTGCCATTCGGTATGTTAGTGTGACTGCCTCTGCCTTGAGCCCCTCCTTTGCTGTAGAAGACCGCTTTGGGGGAGACAAAGTTGAGCTTCTTCCTCGTCAGTGCTGCTGGGTGGGAGTCTTTGTCCTTTTTTGTCTTTTTTTTTTTTTTGTGTGTGTGTGGAAGATTCTTGCTTAAGCAGGAGGGACCCAAAAGCCACCCAGATCATTGCAATGTGCGCTGACCATGTCAGGCATAAAGAGATGTGTTGTTCCACCTCCCACGGCCGAGGCGAGCGCAGCTACAACGTACATCCGTAACCGGAGAGGAGCCCTGGTATTCAGACCAGATCGCATCACCTTGGGGCAAGCATGGCTGTTCATACTAAGAAACACAGATAACATATAATATTTTTAACTGTGAAGCATTCCTATTGAGAACCCTTTCCTGTTTATTTTTATCAGGACATTGTTTTAATGACTGCAGAGTTACTCATTCGATTCCCAAGGCTGGAGGCAGAACTGAGTTAGTCTCATTGCAAAACTTTTGTCTTGCAATCATTTTCCCGAAATCATTTTCCAGAGTCGGATGCGCTCGGACGCCGCAGCGAGTGCGTTGCCTGACCAGTGACTGGAGCGACCGCAGCGTGCGCGCGGGGCTCGCTGAGCCCGGCACGGCTCCCAAGCCCCGGCAGTCTCCAGGCTCTGCCATGCTCCGCTATAGTGAACACCTCTTCATGCTCCTCCGGTGAAAATGAGTGGAGTGAAGGACCGTAAACGGGCTTGGGCATGTGCACGGAGCTTGCACGCGCTTCCCTTCGCATTGAACTTTCGGGCTTCGGAGGGGACAGGAGCTCCCTCGCACTCGGGTCACCCGTCTGGGAGACGACTAGTTACTTGCTTGACTTCTGGGTTATGTTTCTTGCACTGAACAAACAAATAAGGGCACATTGTTACACCTGGCACCTCCCATAAACATCCCCAGAAACCCCTTTTTTAACACCAACAAGCCCCAAGGGGTTTGACTACTGTATTTAACCCTTCAGACTCTTATTGCTGGTTTTATTTTGCTTTGCACGTTGGTCTGGTTGGCAGCTTCGCACGCCCACTCGGGCTTAGACTGATCTTGGCAGCCCAGTAGAAGTATGAAGCGCTGGCTAAAAGATTAAATGCCCGCAGTTATTGCTACATCCCCTTCCCAAAGAAGCGCAACAAGACTTCCCTGAGCCAGCGTCCCGCTTGTTGTGCCGCCGGGTTTGAACATCTCATCCCCGAGGCCGGGAGAACAGGGCGCGCGACTCCCCGTCTTACATAAAGATCACATTGTCCCTCGCTATTGTTGGCCGCTCGGACGACAGCAGCATCATAAACATTCGTGTCCTCGGCTCCGTGGGAAATGTTCCCAAGGGTAGGTTAACACGGAACATGCAACACGATAGCTTGAACTTCAGCTGAACATCAAGAAAGGCAGGGGCCCTCGAGCCGAATTCTGCGCTCCGCCAATGCGACGAGTGCCTCTTTTCCAGCGAACTCTCACTACTTTGTGAAGGGGTGTTAGGTTTCCACTGCATTTTGTGTTCTGCAAGGCGTATTTATTTTTTTCTCACCCTCCCGGCCCTCCCCTCCCCGTCAGAGCCTTTGGGAGAGCGAAGAGCAAGTACACGCTGTCCAGAAGGACGGGTGTGTTAGGAGTCCCCGCCGGCGGGCTTATTGCACGGAGTTAAACCCTAATTTCACAAAAGGGCGGCAAGAGAGCGGCTGCGGCTCTGGGAGAAGCAGACCCATTTTTGTGCGCTGTTTGCGAATGCCCCGAGAGGCTGTGGCCCAAGACTGCAGGTCTTGGTCATTCGGATGTTACAGCCAATGAGGTAATTTTTGTGCTTCTTCCCATTAAGCACAAAAATTACCAAGAGGTTTGCAATTAAACCGCCCGTGTTTCCTCCCGCTGTGCTGTCCCTCGTCCCTGCACTTGTTGTCTTTTTGTTTTTAGGCAGGGCTTTAAAATGTTCCTAATCATCTTCCATTTCACCTTTTGGCAACCCCGCTGCAAAATGTGCCCGCGCGACACCCGTCATTGTTTCTCCCTGAATTAATTGTTGCGTGTAATTGCGACCTGCTGCCGGACGCTGTCTTGCTATATTAAAAAGAAGGATGCTAATGAAGAACATTGGGTACCGTATTACAGGAGAGCAAGGCTCGACTCGCTGGGACGCGTACTTGGCGTACTATTATTGCCAGCCAGGGTAGAAATGGTGTTTCTGTCTCTCGTCAGTCGCTGGCTAATGATAGTAATTTTTACTTGCTGAGAAACTCGGGATATAATGGACTTCATTAACGGATACATGAGATGCTACCAGACCTGCATTAGAGGCAGAGAGGAAGAAAACAACCCCTGCATGGAGACAATTTTATTATTTATTTGTAGCAATAGGAGTGATCCTGAATTAGTATCGGATTCGGCTGTGTGGCTAATGAGCTGGGCAGAGCTGGAATCCAAGCAAACTTGTTAAGGAAAACAAACTGCAAAGATGATGCCCGACTCTGAAAGCCTGCTCATGCAGCCGAAGATCCCAGGTGGCACTGGGCTGGTTCGGCTGTTTTTCCTTCCTTTGCGTGGGGCCACGTGGTCGTGTGCCGGCGTGTTTGCGCATTGAGATGCTTGTGCAAGCCCCAGCCTTCCTCCCGGCCCCTTCGCTCTCCCCAGCTCCCGTTACTTTGGTGCACTGGAAGAGCTGGAACATCTGATTTAATCTTTAAGGCCACAGAGCCAAAGTATTTCCACTCCCACGTGCCACATCTGCTTTAAGAATTGCCCCACGTGAAATATGGGAGCGACCAGCCCCAATTTCCGGATGAGCGCAGAGTGGGTCCTCGCCGGACCAGCCGGGGATGCGGCGGCAGGGCTGGCGCGGCGAGAGCCCCGTGTTTCAGAGCCGCAACTAAAATACGGGTCATGAGGGAGAGCAAAAGGCCACCCGAGCTGGCCGACATCTCCCGTGTAGCGTTACAACAATCTCTTTCCAATGGATCGGAGGCATCGAGAAACGTGAGAGTCTTCAGATCACCTCAATCCCCTTCTACCTGGAACCAGGGAAGACTTATCTCACCCCAGCAAGAAGTTATTTTTTTATGTAGGATGCGTTTGCTGAGGACTGTCCATTTTCACTCCAGCTAAAATAACTGGTTTTTATCAGCCTGGTCTTATTTGCAGCTGTGTTAGTGATTTCGAGTGCAGGTTCGCAGCGGTAATTGGAAAGCTTTGAAAAGCAGGCTGGATGCTTTGTACCAAAGATAGAAAGCTTTGTCCCTGCCTTTAAAACCGAACCCAAGATGCTGAAGCCTGCGGTGAATTCAGAAGGACTTGACCTCAGTGCTGTAAATCAGCTGTCAGAAGCAGGGCCTGATTTGGAAATAACGCAACAGAGTGGAGGCGATAAAATAGAAGGGAAGTCTTTAAAAAAGAGCCACATTCCCTGTCTGGTAACGTGGCATTTGTACCAAATGCTTGCTGACAGTGTGGCGCAGCAAAGAGCCTGTCTTTATATATCGATGCCAGTTCAAACATCGTCAGTGCTATTGTTGGATCGCTTTGTTTGAAAATGGGTCTTCTGGGTAGACGGCCTGTTTCAGGACAGCACGCGCGCGCGTGTAACATGTCAGGACCTCTCCCCAGCTTTGCTTCTTCCGTGTTTGCATGAATATGAGCACGAGGCGGGGAGAAAAAAAGCAAATTCAGGATGAGACGTGGGCAGAATATCTAAAGCGCTTGACCGTCCGACACGCTTTTGATTGCTTCCAGTTGATTGGAGAAGGTGCCTGCTGCAAGGACTGCATGAGCAAAATCAGACTTGCTTTGATCAGGGAAATGCTTTGAGCTTCAAGAAACCTGTGAAGATATGCGATTTGGGCGTTTCCGTCTTGGTTCGGTTGGAAGTACGTGCAACGGGGAGCAGACTGTGGGCCAAGTCATCTGAACGTGGGAGATGAGAGAAGGAAACCGTCCAGGATCCCACAAGTGTTTCACTGTCCAGCAACAGAAAAGCTCTTCTGGCAGCAACTGGCAACTCTTGGCTCCAGAATAACCCCCAAATACTCAGGCAGTCACAGTCTATGCCTTTCCCCGCTCTGTTAGGAAATTATATTATTAGATTATAGGCTCAGAGCTGGGCTGGAGGGCCGCGAGCTGGCAGGGACGTCCCCAGCAATGCCTTCCACATCCCGTGCTGAGCTCTGGAGAAGTCATTAGGTCTCCCAATGCTTTTTCCATAGCTTTTGTTGGCCAGGAAGGTCTGTTACAACCATCCAAGCTGATCTCGTGGCTGGAGCGCATCGCCCTGCTACTTCTTAGTCTAGGGGAGGCAGGCGCAGGTAGCCCACTAGGAAAATTAATTAATGTGGCTCGTTCCGGGTTACTCGAAATCACCTACCTTCAGCTTCCAGCTCTTCTGACGTAAATCATGAGCTCCCTGCCGCGAGGAGAAACTGTTCGCGTTTTGTGTTGGAAATTGCTAGCAAATACGAGCCCATATTCCATGTCGGATTTGTTTTTATTGAAGAGGAAAGGATCTGGCTCATGGAACATTTACGGACCCCGACTGCCTTGGTGTACTTTGAGCGGGGGCCTGTTTTTATTGCAGCCGGCTAATGAGATGGTGCTTGGACAAATCACGTAAACACTATTAGAGAAATGAAATTTATTATCTAGCTGTTTATCATGAGTGGATTCGAGGTAAAGGCTCGTGCAGAAGTAATCTCAAGGGTCTGCTTTGAGGTAAAGCGTACCTAGTCCTTACGAAACCCTGATCTGGTTACTTGCTTTGCTTTGCTTCCCCAGCTCGAGGCCGTCAGCTGGGGTGACCGGTGCCGGTTCAGTGCAGTTACTCTCCCTGGCAATGGATGCAGGGCTTTTTTTTTTTTTTTTTTTTTAAAAAAAAGGAAAAATTCCTGGGTGGTTTAGGGGGGCTGG